CTCAACCAGCTATACTACTGCGGGCCCCTCTTGGGTCCTTGTACCATGCTGATGTTGGCACTGCTTTCGACGTTACGGAAGTAAATGCTGCCTCCATCTCCACTCTCTAAAAATATTTAAAATACTTAAACCTAAGCAGACACATTTTTGTGTTGCACAGCCCACNACTTTCTTGCCTAGACCGATCAACACTATGACTTCCCAGAATATTGACCTTTCCTCCTGGGGCATTCTATATGGTTTTCTTTTGTATCGCAATTTGTTTTTCCTTTGGCGCTACAGCCCCAATTTGGACCTTGGCCTACCTCCATGAAAATCTCCGTTTCACTTCGAATTACTAGATCTCAGAAATTCGGTAGGACCCTTGAACGGGTGATCAGCTTGTCTGTAAACGCACACACAAAAACGCGCACGCACATAAGCACACATGCAGACACTAAACATCGATGCCCTAAGTGGGATTCGAACCCACGACACCGGCTTCCGAGCGAATGAAAACAGTTCATGCCTTAGACCGCTCGGTTACCATGAACGGCCTCGCACATTTTAGCGATTTTATAAAATTCCACTTGAAGGCCTCAAACAAAATTTAACGAGGAAGTTGACATCGGAGCTGATGCATCTGCTTTGTGCTTGGGTTGTACATAATTCCGTTCGCAATTGGGACGTGTCAGTTTTAATTTGAAGTAAGTTCCACATGGCATAGAGTGGCTCTCGGCTGCCGGTTCAATATGTTTGTATAACATTACTATGTTTATCTTTCATTGAACATAATTATGACTCTCACTACATGGATGCCAAACTAATTAGCAGGGCCCGGATTTTGATGACATGTCATCTTTATTTCCTTGTATCCTATGCGATGCTCTTAAATATATAAATCTCGGATATGAGCTGCTGGTTACAGAAATGTAAATTTTGTAGGTAATTTTTTGTCATTTTTTGACATTTTTAGGTTTAAGGTAATTTTTTCATTTGGGGGTAATTTTTTGGTAAAATTTTGGATTTTTAAGGGCATTTTTTTTCATTTTTGGCCATTTTAGGGAATTTTTCTTCA